TTTTTGTTTGATTTCTTGTAATTTTTTTTTATTGTTGTATCCTTTCTTGATTATTTTCAATGTCGAAACATCGTGCGATCGAAACATCAAAAAATCTCAAATTTAAACAATCGAAAATTGAAAATATCGAACAATTGAAAAAACTAGAAATAAAAAAATCCGAAAATTGAAATGTCGAAGAAGAGAAATCGAAACATTGAAAATTTTAATTTAAAAAATCAAAAAAACTAAAAGTCGAGAAATCGAAAAATCTACAACAAAAAAAAGAAAAATTGAAAAATCAAAAAAAGTACAGCATCGAAAAACTGAAAAGTCGAGAAATTTAATGATCTCAAAACTAAAATTGGCGGAGAATTGAAAAATCGGAACACTGAGAAATCGAAATTGAAAAGTTGAAATATCGAGAAAATAAAAAAAAAAGTGAAAAATCTAAAATTTAAAAATTCGTTAAATTGAAAAATGGAAAAAACAATGAACTGAAAAAACGAAATATCTAAAATTTAAAAAATTGAAAAATGAAAATATCGAAAAATTGAAAAATCCCAAAATTGAAATGTTGAAAAATTGACAAATCGAAAACTTGAAATATCGAGGAATCCAAAAAAAAAGGAAAATTTAATTTAAAAAATCAAAAAACCTGAAAGACGAGACATCGAAAAATCTAAAATTTAAAAAATTGGAAAATTGAAAAATCGAAAAAGCAAAGTATTGAAAAACTGAAAAATCGAGAAATTCGATAATTTCAAAACTAAAATGTGGAAAATCGAAGAATTGAAAAATCAAGAAATCGAAACAACAAAATACCATGAAATCGTCGAAAAATTAAAAAAATCAAAATTGAAAAATTTAAACCTGAAAAATCCAGAAATCGAATAATTTTAAAATTAAAAAGTCGAAAAATTAAAAAAGTGAAAAATGTAAAATTTAAAAATTCGTAAAATTAAAGAACTGAAAAATCGAGATATTTAAAATTTAAATCAATGAGAAATCAAAAATCGAAAAATTGAAAAATCCCAAAATCGAAATGTTGAAAAATTGACAAATCGAAAATTTGAAAAATTAAAAAATCGAAAGATCGAAAAATCCAAAAACTGAGAAATTAAAATTGAAAAGTGGAAAAATCGAGAAATCGAATAAATTTTAAAATTTAAAAATCGAAAAAATCAAAGAACTGAAAAATCCAAATAACTAAAATTTAAAAAAATTGAAAAATCAAAATATCCAAAAATTGAAAAGCCCCAAAATTGAAATGTTGGAAAATTGACAAATTGAAAACTTGAAAAATCGGAAATTTTTATTTAAAACCCAAAAAATTAAAAATCGAGAAAACGTCAAAAAATTGAAAAGTTGAAATATCGAGAATTCGAAACATCAAAATATCAAGAAATCGTCGAAAAATAAAAAAATTCAAAATCGAAAAATTTAAACTTTGAAAATTGAGAGATCGAATAAATTTTAAAATTGAAAAATCGAAAAATCAAAAAAGTGGAAAACCTAAAATTTAAAAATTCCTACAACTGAAAAATATCTAAAATTTAAAAAATTAAAAAATTAATTACCGAAAAAATGAAAAATCCCAAAATTGAAATGTTGAAAAATCGAAAATTTTAATTTAAAAAATCAAAAAACAAATTCGAGAAATCGAAAAATGTACAACTTCAAAAATCGAAAAATCGAAAAAGTAAAGAATCGAAAATCTGAAAAATTGAGAAATTCAGTCGAAAAAATTAAAAATCGAAAAACTGAAAAATCGAAAGATTGAAAAATCAAAAAACTGAGAAATCGAAACTGAAAAGTTGAAACATAGAGAAGTCGAAACATCAAAATATCGAGAAATCGAGAAATCCATAAGTAGAAAATTAAAAAAATTCAAAATTGAAAAATTGAAACTTAAAAAATCGAGAAAATTTTAAAATTGAAAAACTGAAAAATCATAGAAATCAAAAAAGTGAAAAACCTAAAATTTAAACATTCGTAAAATTGAAAAAGAGGAAAATCGAAATATCTAAACTTCAAAAAATTGAAAAAGTAAAATTTTGAAATATTGAAGAATCAAGAAATTGAAGAATTGATTTCTTGTGAACTAATTTTTTTTGTTGTATATCTTCCTGATTATTTTAATTCTCGAAAGATCGTCTAATTCAAACGTCAAAAAATAAAAAAATCTAAAATTTAAACAATCGAAAATTGAAAATATAGAAATATTGAAAATCTAGAAAAGAAAAATTCTCAAAATTGAAATGTTGAAAAATAGACAAATTGAAAACTTGAAAAATCGAGAAATCGAAAAATTGAAAATTTTAATTTAAAAAATCAAAAAACTAAAAATTGAAAAATCGAAAAATCTAAAAGTTAAAAAATCGAAAAATTGAAAAATCGGAACATCGAAAAATTGAAAAACTGAGAAATCGAAATTGAAAAGTTGAGATATTGAGAAACCGAAATATCAAAATATCGAAAATTCGTGAGATCAAAAAGTAAAAAAAAAATTAAAAACTGAAAAATTTAAACTAAAAAAATCTAAAAATCGAATACATTTTAAAATTGAAAAATCGAAAAAATCAAAAAAGTGAAAAATCCAACATTTGAAAATTCGTAAAACTGAAAAATAGAAAAATCAAATAACTGAAAAATTAAAAGATGTATCTAAAATTTAAAAAATTGAAAAATTGAAATATCCCAAAATTGAAATGTTGAAAAATTGACAAATCGAAAACTTCAAAAATCGAGAAATAAAAAAATCGAAAATTTTAATCTGAAAAATCAAAAAATTAAGAATGGAGAATTCTAAAAATCTAAAACTTAAAACATCGAAAAACTGAAAAATCGAGAAATTCAATAATCTCAAAACTGAAATGTTGAAAAATTGAAATATTGAAAAATCAAAAAATTGAAGAATTGAAGAATCGAAAATTGAAAATTCCAAAGATCAAAAAATTGAAAAACTGAGAGAAATCGAAACATCAATATCTCGAAAAATCAAATCGAAAAACTGGAAAATCGAACTATTGAAGACAAAAAGTTGAAGAATCGAAAATTTGAAAAATCCCAAAACTGAATCAACGAACAGCTGTGAAATAAAAAAATTGAAAATCTAGAAATCGAAAAATTGAAAATCGAGTAATCCGAAAGTCGAAAATCCGAAAAATTGAAAAATCGAAAAAAATAAAAATCGAAAAATTCAATAATCTCAAAAGTAAAATGTCTAAAAATTGAAAAATCGAAAAACTGAGAAAGCGAAATTGAAATGTTAAAATGGAAGAAGCCGAAAAATAAAAAAATCAAAATTGAAAAGTTTAAACTTGAAAAGTCGAGAATTCGAGAAATCAAGAAATCGAAAAATAAAAACTTAAAAAATCGGGAAATCGAAAAACTGAAAAACCGAAAGTCAACAAAAAGAAAATTGAAAAACAAAAAAATTAAACAACCGAAAAATCGAATTGTCTAATTTAAAAAATGGAAAAATTAAAATATCGAAAAATTGAAGAATCGAAAAAATGAAAAACCCCGAAACTGAACCAACGAAAACCTGCGAAATCAAAAAATTGAATATCTAGAAACCAAAAAATTGAAAATCGAAAAATCGAAAACTGAAAACTGAAACATTGAAAAATTGAGAAATCGAAAAATTGAAAATCGAGTAATCCGAAAGTCGAAAAATCGAAAATCCGAAAAGTTGAAAAATTGTTTTTTAATTTTGGTTTTTTCCCAAAAATCTCGATGTCAACGATAAAAATTCAACACAAAATCATAAACCACAGGTTCAGTTACTTTTTAACATTATATAACAAAACAGGGGACTTACTTTTTCAAACTTTAGGGGTCATGAAATGTCGAGAAAATATAAAAGTAGCTTACGCAGAGGGAAGTGAAAGGTATTTTTGATTAAAAAAAAATTAAATAAAATTATTCCTCTATAGAGAAAACTTTGAACATATTTTTTTCTGAGCACTATTAAAACACAAACTTGAGCACTAATTTGTTGCCACATGTTCTAAAAATTTCGTATTTATAGTTCACGTTGTGCTTCCACAGAACTCAATAGTACACATTTTTTATTTTTAACATAAACATTATGTGTTATATTGACGATTATTTTAACCCCTATTTGTTTAAAACAAAATATCCATACAAAGCGGAACCCGTCCCTCGAGACCAAAGGGATTAAACGATAATTATCCCAAACGCTAAATCGACATCTATTACAAATGTTTGTAATCTCCCTCGATATTAATCTGTGTACCTTAAATAACGCACAACAATCCGTCCCAGATAACAGTAAACATTTGAACCGATAAACTTTACAACAGAAAAGCACCGCGAAGGTTGCCAATATTTTCCTCACTCTTTGTTTTAGATAAAACTGGAAAAAATTCACTCTCAATTATGACTCATTATCTTTACAATTTCGAAACGTTTGAAGTTTAAAAGGATTATTAACGTTTCTGTGCGAGTGGTTTTATTTGAAAATCGATTGTGCGTAGTCGTGGTCTAAAATAAATTTTATTGTCTCAAACGCTAAATTTAGAGAAAATCTTGCATTAAAATTGCCGGTTTATAAACTAATAGAACGTTCGAAAACGCGCTCGAGAGTGCGTATACGCAACGATACAAGTAATTTGTGGCTGCGGCTTCATACGAAAACTATATTACGTTACAGCGCTTCCGGAAGTGACAATAATTGAAATAAAGTATCTCGCATGGGACACAATGAATGAACCCGAGTCACAATTCGTGGAACGAAATTTAAAACGCGATTCTAAGGAATGCAATAATAGAAAGTAAAAGTGACAACTAAATAAATGGCGCACGTTTTAAGGAAGGCGTTCGGAGTTACGCGCTGACTTACTCTATAAAATCGTGACTCTAGAAGATTCGCACTTTCATATTTAATAGTGTGAAAATGAGTTGCTTGTCGCACCGCAGCCCGTGCGGTAATTCGTTTCGCAGTGATGTTTTAAACCCGCTTGGTCGCTGACTGACCCGCTAATGTTTTCCAGGCCGGCTTGAAATGGATCCCGACGGTGATAATTGACTTTCCACCCAAGCCTACTATGATATGATTTCGACAAGATTTTCCCTAACGACGACCGCATCATCGACTTTTCCGAATTCGACGCCTTTGATAGAGTATAACATAAGCACCTCGAACTATCTTTATACGCCGTCGTCGACGATCGACCTCTACAACGCCTCCAACGTTTCGGGCTTCAACGACACGTTCTCTTCAGTGTTCCCCAGCTACATACGGACAACTTCGGTCGTTTTTTGCATAATAATCATGTGTCTGGGTGTGATCGGTAACATAATGGTGCCTATCGTTATTTTTAAAACTAAGGATATGAGGAACAGCACGAATATATTTTTAGTAAACTTGAGTGTTGCCGATTTGATGGTGCTTCTGGTCTGCACGCCCACCGTCCTCGTCGAAGTCAACTCGCGGCCCGAAACGTGGGTCCTCGGGAAGGAGATGTGTGAGTATGGATAAAAATTAGCTCGTTGTCGAATCGCGTCAGCCCCGTAGCTAGAAAACTTATTCAGGGGGGGCAAGTTTGCCGACAGAGGGGGCTTCATGTAAATATTTATATTTTAATAATACACTCAGATAACTACTTTATTTTTTCTGAGTTTTTATATTTGAAAGAACATTAAAATAATTGGAAACGTCGATTTTTTACGCTAAATTTTCGTAAAAACCTGTCGAAGTCCAAAAAATTAGTACGGTACTTGGTTAAAATGCTGGTTAAAACAGAGAATGTACATTCACAAACAGCTGTACTGCATCCAAAAATTTGTGTAGTGACCGTATAGGTAACATCCAATTTGTTTGAGTTTATTTTTTTGCATGTTTAGTACATATTTTAAAAATCCGACTTCGAAACCAAATATTTCGAAAATTTTGGTACGGAACCATGAACTCGTCATGTTTTTTTAAACTCGTCGAGATGTGTATTTCAGAATTTTTTGTCAACTTTAACAAAAGCTCAATTTTTGGAAACCCATATAAAATTTTTGACTTTTCCCAAGCATTTTCGAAAATTACCAAAAGAATTCCTTTGTTCATCTCGATTTCTTCCAAAAATCGTTTTGGATTCAACTTTTTTGAAAATTCTTACATTTTTTGCAGAATCGACGGAAGAAAAATGGCAATTTTTGAGAACCTGTGTCAAATTTTTGATTTTTTTTCAAGCACGTTCGAGATTACCAAAAGGGATTCCTTTATTGATTTCGATCTCCAGATGTTGTTTTTGGTTGTTTTTTCGAAAATGCGTACAATTTTTCCACAATCGCCAAAAGAAATATGGTAATTTTTGAGAAATTTTGAAAATTCGAGCACGAAACCGAATATTTCGAAAATTTTGATCCGGAACCATGAACCTGTCATGTTTTTTTAAGCTCGTCCAAATCTATATTTCAGAATTTTTTGTCAACTTTTAAGAAAGTTCAATTTTTGAAAACCCATATAAAATTTTTGACTTTTCCCAAGCATTTTCAAAAATTATCAAAAGAGACTCCTTTGTTCATCTCGACTTCCAAAAATCGTTTTGGACTCAATTTTTTTGAAAATTCTTACAATTTTTCCATAATCGACGGAAGAAATATGGCAATTTTTGAGAACCTGTATCAAATTTTTGACTTTTTTTTAAGCACGTTCGAGATTACCAAAAGGGATTCCTTTATTGATTTCGATCTCCAGATGTTGTTTTTGGTTGTTTTTTCGAAAATGCGTACAATTTTTCCACAATCGCCAAAAGAAATATGGTAATTTTTGAGAAATTTTGAAAATTCGAGCTCGAAACCGAGTATTTCGAAAATTTTGATCCGGAACCATGAACCTGTCATGTTTTTTTAAGCTCGTCCAAATCTATATTTCAGAATTTTTTGTCAACTTTTACGAAAGTTCAATTTTTGAAAACCCATATAAAATTTTTGACTTTTCCCAAGCATTTTCAAAAATTATCAAAAGAGACTCCTTTGTTCATCTCGATTTACAAAAATCGTTTTGGACTCAATTTTTTTGAAAATTCTTACAATTTTTCCAGAATCGACGGAAGAAATATGGCAATTTTTGAGAACCTGTATCAAATTTTTGACTTTTTTTTAAGCCCGTTCGAGATTACCAAAAGGGATTCCTTTATTGATTTCGATCTCCAGATGTTGTTTTTGGTTTTATTTGGTTGAAAAGTCGTAAAATTTTTCAGCAATCGCCAAACGAAATGTAATTTTTGAACTTTGAAACCGAATGTTTCGAAAATCTTGATCTGGGACCATCTAGACCTTGTGTTTTCTGATTGAGCTCGTCGAGATCAACATTTCAGATTTTTTTGTGGATTTTTAGTCAACTTCAACAAAAGCTAAATTTTTGAAAATCTATAAAATGTTTATGACTTTTCCCAACCGTTTTCGAAAATTAGCAAAAGGGATCTCTTTATCGATTTCGATCTCCAAATGTTGTTTTTGGTTTTATTTTCTCGAAAATTTGTACAATTTTTCCAAAGCCGCCAAAAGAAATGTAATTTTTGAGAAATTTTGAAATGTCGACTTTGAAACCGAATTTTTCGAAAATCTTGGTCTGGGACCATCAAGACCTTATGTTTTTGGATTAAGCTCATCGAGATCTACATCTCGGAATTTTTTGTTGATTTTTTGTTAATTTCAACAAAAACTCAATTTTTGAAAATCTATATACATTTTTTGACTTTTCCCAAGCATCTTCGAAAATTAGCAAAAGGGATCTCTTTATTGATTTCGATCTACAGATGTTATTTTTGGTTTTATTTTTTTGATATTTCGTCGAATTTTTCCACAATCGCATAAAGAAATAACTTTTTTTTAAGTCACTTTTAAGATTTTTTAGAAATTTTAGGTAGAACCCAATATTTCGTAAATTTTGCTCCGGGAGCATGAACATGTTTTTCGATTAAGCTCATCGAGATCTATATTTCAGAATTTTTTGTCAACTCTAACAAAAGCTCAATTTTTGAAAACTAAATAAATTTTGACTTTTCTTAGCATTTCCCAAAATTACCGAAAGTCATTCTTTTATTTATTTCAATCTTCAGATGTTTTTGGTTTTATTTGATCGAAAATTTGTAAAATTTTTCTAGAATCGTCAAAAGAAATAGGAGTATAATTTTTGAGAAATTTTAAAAATTCGACTTGGAAACCGAATAGCAGCAAGACCTTATGTTTTTTGACTAAACTCTTCGAGATCTACATCTCAGAATTTTTTGTAGATTTTCAGCCAATTTCAACAAAAGCTCAATTTTTGAAAATCTATAAAAAAAAATTGACTTTTCCCACGCATTTTCGAAAACTAGCAGAGGGGATCTTTTTATTGATTTCGATCTCCAAATGTTTTTTTTTTGGTTTTATTTTTTCGAAAATTCGTACAATTTTTCCAGAGCCGCCAAAAGAAATGTAATTTTTGAGAAATTTTGAAATGTCGACTTTGGAACCGAATTTTTGAAAAATCTTGGTCTGGGACCATCAAGACCTTATGTTTTTTGATTAAGCTCATCGAGATCTACATCTCAGAATTTTTTGTCTATTTTTTGTCCATTTCAATAAAAGCTCAATTTTTAGAAAATCCATATAATATTTTTGACTTTTCTCAAGTACCTACATAGTAGGCTATGGAATAAAATGTGACATGTTCATTTTTTTATACGGTCAACATCAACGGTAGTGTGATATTGCCAAATAATATACCCTGTACGAAAATAAAGGTGGGGCGGGTGGGGCCAGTTAATATGCTTCGGCAATCGGCATTATATTGAAATTTTATTACTAATTTGAAATTTATAATGTATAAGTCTTCCAGGGGGCTCAGCCCCCTCTTGCCCCCCCGTAGCTACGGGGCTGAATCGCGTAAATAACAAGGCGGCAATCGGGATCCTTGCGGTGCACGCGTCGAATAAATTTCCCCATTTCGGACCTTCACGCCCGCCCGACGCAGAACAAAAGCACAATTCCCTCTGTAAAAACGCCTTCTGTGATCTCTCTCCCCATGCGACCCGCATTCCGCCCTTTATTGTATTTATTGCCAAACGTGAAAATGCCCCACTTCCTTATTTTTTATGCAAAGCGCGACCCAGAACGATAAAGCGGCGCACATATCTTAAATGTAAGCAGAACGCGATAAGTGCATTGTCTGCGCCGGATGCCCTTTTTCACTTAATCGACGTAAATTTCCAAATCGCCATAATTTCGTTATCAACGCCAGGAATAAAGCAATTTTCGCCGCGGCGCTATCAAAGGAAAAAACGCGCGACCTCGCCGGGAAAAGCAATCTCAAACTTCGACCTGGATAAGATTTTCTGATATTGGAGCAGTTTAAAGTGCACACCGAATTTTGTAATTATATCCGAGGAGGTTTCCAAGTGACAGAGCGACCTCTGCAGTTATTATTTACTTTGGGAGTTGAGTCCCGGTTTCGGGAGGACCGGAGCGCTGATGTGCTTCCAGATCACGGTCTCACAATAAAGGGATGTTGTTTAAATAAGTTCGAGGGAGAGTTTTTGTGTTATGAGGCACCAGCGCGGAAATCTCGGGCTCAGAAGCTGGTTTTTTAATATGGCGGTTTCGAAGTTTAGGGACAGCGGCGGGAGTAAGGCCGGAAAGGGTTTAACTGTCGCAAATATTGTAATTAGGTCATTTTGAGGATTACCGAACTTGGTGTTTTTAACGTTTCACGTTTCCGACTGACTGTGCGTCAGCAACTAATGGCGTGTGAAACTATTTTGAAATTACACGGATAGTCTAAAAAGTGACGATGTCAGGATAAAATCGGGAACGACCCATGTATTTAACCGCACGTGTGCCAGAGGAAAATGGCCTTCCTTCGGTTTATTATGATCATATATTATAACATTCTATATTTAATAGCGTATTTACATCACAATATCTTAATCATAATAAATTAAACAACAGTAATTTTGTTGTTTTGCCAACTTTCGTATTATTTTGGAAAAATCGATCGAATTAGTATCGCATTCACCAAAAAAACTCCTAATTAGATAGTAGCGCCTGAGCCATGGGCGATCCGAGGAAGTTTTTTATTGGTTAGTTGGAAAATTATCACTCAACACAAGCAACACTAACGGATAAAGTAACAGGAATTCTTGAAGTTGTTAATGAGATTTGAAAAAATCTCCTCTAGATCGTTTTCAAAATGCTTTTAAGTTTACAGGCCATACTTTCAGAAGCTGATAAATTAAACGAGCTCGTTAACCTGATTTCTTCAAAGCGTCGATGCACATCCATAATGTTTTCTTTTGAAATATTGTCGGCCAAGTTCGATTATAAATTTTCAGTTTTGTTCTTCTTGCAATTTTTACTTCTCGAGCGGAAGCGAACCATCTGGTAATCTCCAAAACTACTAGACCCATTGTTGTAAAATTTTGTATGTCTATTAGGAATATCACGTGGATAGTAAAACGCAAAGCAAAATTTGACTAATCGTCCCCAAAAA